GTCACAGTGACCTTGGTGGGAGTAGGAGGAGGATGTAGTTGGGTTTCAGGGGGCAGAGGGGAGGGTCGTGGATGGAGGCAGTGGGGGATAAGTGAGAGATTAAAAGAGCAGCATAAAATGGAAATACAATATTTGCTGTTTCAATAGTACGTACATCCTACCCGCCACCCCCCCCCCCCATACTCCTGGCAGCATTTTTCGAAGAGTTTTTGAGGCGGGGTTCGAGTATGTCAAGATGAACCAGGTGCAGCGACATTGTTGGCGTCCTTGACTAGTTCAAATGTTTGCAGATGTGACATGAGATCAGAGAGGGTCCTGTTTATCGGGGGTAGGGGAGGGGATCGCATCGAAACATCTGTTAGGCCGATGTCAGACTTTGCGAATCAGCGATTTGCGATTCGCTAGCGTCCGCGGTCGCGTTGCGGTGCCAGCCAATTGAGTGATTCGCTGGCCGCGACGCGACCGCGGACGCTAGCGAATCGCGCGATTCGCAAAGTCTGACATCGGCCTTAGATGGGGAGCTGTGGCCATTCCCTCGACGCGATGAATACCCTGATTTTTAGCGAATTCTGTCGAACTCTTCCGAATCTCTGAAGGTATCCAACAACTTTTGGGGGACCTACTTACCCCTCGGTATCCTTTGAGAGATTCAGGCTGTTCTTTCTTGCTTTTTTTTACTTTACAAGAAGATTTCTAACTTTTCGCAAAGAGAACCTATGGAATTGGGCGAGGACATAAGGAATTAGGTGGAGCATCCGGGTCAGCGCACACATCTTCGGTTACGTGCTTCTTCCAACCCTGAAATACGCATTAGGAAGATTGGCCATGCGTAAACACGGGTAAGAAAAACCACATGAAAGTACAACTGTCCTTACCCCAGAAGCTACTGAAAGAGCATTGTGTGCCTGAACACGCAATCAGAGGTCTGACCTCGAGCGCCAATAAAAAGAGCGGTATGAAACAGCGCTACTTCGTTTCCCAAAGCAAGGGCCACACATTGGATCCGTAGAAACGTCTCACGATCCTAAGGGATTGAGGTAAAAATCGCACGGAGGGCTGTTCTGCAAGTGAGCATTTAAGTAGTGGTAGAAACTAGGCCACACTCTGGCTTCAGCTACTTCAATGAGTTCCTGCGAAACTGAAAAAAGTTACCTGCCGTTTTATATTTGGGTTGGACGGCGGAGAAGGGCGAAGTGGAAAGTGGAGCTTT